AGGAGCGTGTGTCGTTCAGTGTCAGTCAGAGAACTCACTCTACTGTCGACCGGTTCGGAGTCTCGGCGGATCGACCGTTCCAGGCGCGCTTATCGCGTGTCGGTGTCGTCCGTCGTCGATTGGCGGTTGAAAAGAGAAGTAATTGCGCGGGTTCCCGCGCAAAGGCCGTTTGAATTCGAACGGCTATTACGCGGGCCCGCGTCAAACTTAAGATCGAAAGAGCCATAGGTTGCCGACCCCTGGGCTAGATCAATATTTACGATTATTGATTTATATTAATTTTTAAATAGTTTTTGTTGTCAATATATTTTAATATATTTTATGCATTTAGTTTTGCTAAATTTGACAAACAATAATATTGTAAACCGTAAATTAAAAACAATAATTTTATTAGTGTAACATATTTTATCATATCAAAAACAATTAAACTCTAATTTATCTAAATTACAACAAATATATTTTCTCAATGTTTTATAGTAATATATTATGCTAGGTACCAATGTTTTTTTTTTTAATTTGATGGTTGTAAATAATGATTATTAGTAGGTATAAAATGTTGATTCTATCATTAAATAGCTGGTAAATTGATTATTAAAATGGATTCGAACAAATTTTATTTTTAGTTTTCATGATTAGGGTTAATTATAGGCCATATTTAGGAAAAATAAACGTAAAAACATTAGTTGACTTTTAATTTAAAATAACTCTTAGGTATACATAATATATAACATATATTTATTCATTCATCATAGAGAATTTTTCGATCTGGGTAAACAGTAGTAACTTCCATTCGTGTTGATACACAATTCGTTTTTCAAGCACCGATTGGACAATCTGCATTCGTTTATGTCTGCGAAACAACAAAATKCATTAATAAAATATAAATCAGTTAAAAAAAATTTAATCATCAAAATTCGGCCAATTGTATCGTATTTTTGTTTTGTCAAATCTAATGATAATAATCGAATTGCACTCCAGCTTAAAAACATTTCAACATTTTAAAAAAATTTCGAATTTCATCCGAACCAATCATTTAACACAAATGAATAATATTATGAACGGAAATTTTTAAAAATAATAAAATACGAGATTTAGATGTTATAATTTACTAACAGTTGACCATTGTTTTATAATTATTGTTGTGTATTCATTTTGGAAAATAAAAAAAGAAATGTATTTCTATTATATTTTTAAATACCTAATAAAGTAATAACTATATGTAATTATTTTAATAAAAACAATAAGTAAGCTTAATGTTATATAATATATAGTTATATATGTTATCAGATTTTGAAAKCCTTAATTAATTGTATTACTATACAAAAATTAATTAATTCATGAGATATTGCCAGTAATATATTAGAATTATATAATCATATACTATAATTTATGAGATATAATATACAACATGAGATAATATTTATTACTTACTTATTTTTCAAGTAAGTACCAAACTTATGAACTGTATAGCATACAAGAGTATGATTCAATAAATCAGATGAGTATTTATTTTGATTAATTAAAACTTGATCATAAAATATTTAATAAAAATTTAACTTTTTTTTAAACTTAAATACGACACCTTATTATTAAGACAATTGCCAACTTGCAACATTTTTCTATGATTGAAGATAACTAAAAATAACAGTTATTGTTAAGATTAATTTTTTTATTTACTACATTAAGTAGATTATTTTAATAATAAAATAAACGATGTGTATAATAAGGCTTCGAGGTATTAATATTTTAGATATAAYTTCTGAAAGTATGCAGTTTTATATAAGAGTAAAATATTGGACGATTCTTTCAACACAGAGTACACCAAAATATTATTTTTTTATGTAGGTATTCGAGAACTTTAATGGCTGGGGAAGATTGATTTTCTTTAGCATAATTCGAAATATTTTATAATTTGCGAAAAAAATATTCATCTGTTTAAATTTTAAATTATAATTTTAAGTTTGGGAACCACTTTAACAATTGTTTTTCATGTAATATTTTTTTGTTTTGTATACAATTAATTCATGTTAATTTAAAAAACCGTTACTTTCTTATCTAAAAATATTATTTATAACTTTTTCAAGAATAATCTTAGAAATAAAATATTTTATAGATTTTTCATCTACTCCATCTATTAGTGTCAAWTTTGAACGTGATGTTAAATTATTATGCTTTATATTCCAAAAATAAACACATATTTTTAATTCAGAATGATTAAGCTATATGTTTTTAAATGGAAGCTTGAAATACCCAAATAATAAGTAATAAATTTAAAATCACTTAAATAATTATTCTTCTACATGACGYAGAAGAATATTGCATAGATGACTTACATAAAATCTTAATTTTGGAAATATCTATCTTCAAACAAAATTATTTCTGTTGCATATTCAGCATAAATTTTTTTATACGTTGTGTAATTATAAGTATTCGTATCATATCACAATCGGTGGGGGCTAGGGTCTGTCTATTGGTGATAAGTGAATAGACAATTTTTAATATAAGTACATCGTTACAATTTCTACAAGGTGTAACARATAGAACTGATTTTGGACTAACTTTTTTTCAAATTAATAATTTTTTCTTGTTCATTAAGTGAACCCAACACTACATGTATAATACATTTTTTTGTTTTATTTTTTAGTACTAAAAATAAATAAAATTAATTTAATAAAAAAAAGTTGGATAAATTCAAAATAGCCTATTTGTGAATCTGATTATAAGAGCAATTTTAATACTAAAAATATTTATCTAAGTTAAGTAGTTTATTTTTTAGAATTTTTTTTAAATTCAAGATTTTTTTAGTTACATTAATTTGGAACACGATAACTTTAAAAAAAAAATATGATTTTTGAAAATTTACCAACATGAGTAGGTATATTTCTTAAATTATTTAGTTATCATATAATATTAAAAAAATTTGTCATACGATGAATTAGCATATTTTTTTGGGGGGGTAGGTCTTTTCTGTTACGCCTTGCATAGTCAACAATACAAAATTACAATGATGGATCTATGTTTTARCATCTATGGTTTCAAAATAAAATATAAAAATCTGAAAAMGATATACCTACCTCATGATTTTTTTTATCAAGAATACAAATTTCAAAATGTATGATTAAAAATCAAAATGAGAAATGCATTAATCTTAATTTTAATCAAGAACCTTTCACACTGAATTGGTCTGAAATAAAAATTGAAACAACTAGGGACATAATTATCGATAAAGTAAGTATAGAACAAATATTATTCTAATAATTAAAAATTTATAGTTAGTATCTCAATAACAACTGACATTTTTCAGAAGGATTGAGGTGGTTTAGGTTATGAATCTATCTTTTATTAAATAAATTATTCGATGCCTATCATATAAGTTCTTCAAGTATAAAAAGTTTTTGCAATCACAAAATGATTAGAAGTATTTCTAATAAATAATATGACAGCGTAAATTGTCATAAATAAATCCACTGAAATTATAGCACAGTGAAAGCTGCTCAAAAAAGGCATTTCAAAAACAACTACTACAACACAAAACATTAACAGATTTTTRATTCTATCATATTGCAAAAATTTAGGTTAGCCTAACCTTACGATTGACAGATGCATTATACCGCCCAAAATCAAACGGTTTTGCTGAATTAGCTGTTAAAACAATATTGAAAATATCTTTACAAAAATATTCAACAACACGATATTGATTTAATTAATTTCTTTGAATGTACATAATACACATCATTCAACAACACAAAAAACTGCAGTTCATTCAGCTAATGTTAGGGTATTCAATTCGTATATAATTTTACACATTACAAGCAATGAGT